GCGGAGGAAGACATCGATGATGAGGACAGCGATGAGGACGAGGATCTGGGCTCAAGGACACGTCTAGTACGCGAGGAGGATATCAGTTACTTACGAAATCATGTGCAGAAACAGGCGGAGGAAATAAGCTTCCAGAAGGACATCATCGCTCAAGTTCGGGACGAGTTACAGCAGCAGGAGGAACAGACTCGCAGGGCTCTCACCAAGGTGGAAAACGAAGATGTCGTGCTATTGGAGCGAGAGCTACGTAAGCACCAACAGGCCAACGAGGCTTTCCAGAAAGCATTACGGGAAATTGGCGGGATCATCACGCAGGTTGCCAATGGTGACCTGTCGATGAAGGTGCAGATCCACCCCTTGGAAATGGACCCTGAAATCGCCACCTTCAAACGTACGATAAACACTATGATGGACCAGTTGCAAGTCTTTGGTAGCGAAGTGTCCCGAGTCGCACGCGAGGTCGGTACGGAAGGTATCCTCGGCGGCCAGGCGCAGATCACAGGGGTGCATGGTATCTGGAAGGAATTGACCGAGAACGTCAACATAATGGCCAAGAATCTCACTGACCAGGTCCGTGAAATTGCCGCAGTCACCACGGCAGTCGCCCACGGAGACTTGAGTCAGAAGATTGAAAGTCGGGCGCAAGGTGAAATTCTGGAACTTCAACAGACGATCAATACTATGGTTGACCAACTTCGGACATTCGCCACGGAAGTCACGCGGGTCGCGCGTGATGTCGGTACAGAAGGTGTTCTTGGTGGACAGGCTCAGATTGAAGGGGTACAAGGCATGTGGAACGAACTCACGGTGAACGTTAACGCCATGGCAAACAATTTGACTACGCAAGTGCGTGACATTGCAACAGTCACCAAGGCGGTCGCAAAGGGTGATTTGACGCAGAAGGTCCAGGCCAACTGCAAAGGAGAAATCGCGGAGTTGAAAAACATTATAAATTCCATGGTGGACCAATTGCGGCAGTTCGCCCAGGAAGTCACTAAGATCGCGAAGGAGGTCGGTACAGATGGTGTTCTCGGTGGTCAAGCAACCGTCAATGATGTGGAGGGTACATGGAAGGATCTGACGGAGAATGTCAACCGCATGGCCAACAATTTGACGACCCAGGTCAGAGAAATCGCAGACGTCACCACTGCTGTCGCCAAGGGTGATTTGACCAAGAAGGTTACTGCCAACGTCCAGGGTGAAATACTCGATCTGAAGAGCACGATCAACGGCATGGTGGACCGGCTGAACACCTTCGCTTTTGAAGTTAGCAAGGTCGCTCGCGAAGTCGGCACAGACGGTACCTTGGGTGGCCAGGCCAAGGTCGATAATGTCGAAGGAAAGTGGAAGGATCTCACCGACAACGTAAACACCATGGCCCAGAATTTGACCTCCCAGGTGCGAAGTATCTCGGACGTGACACAAGCTATTGCCAAGGGTGATCTTAGCAAGAAAATTGAGGTGCATGCCCAGGGAGAAATTCTGACGCTGAAAGTTACCATCAATCACATGGTGGACCGACTGGCTAAATTCGCAACCGAGCTGAAGAAGGTCGCACGCGATGTCGGGGTCGACGGAAAGATGGGTGGTCAAGCTAATGTGGAAGGAATCGCTGGTACCTGGAAGGAGATCACGGAGGACGTGAATACCATGGCAGAGAACTTGACCTCTCAAGTGCGTGCTTTTGGTGAGATCACCGATGCTGCAACCGACGGAGATTTCACCAAGCTTATCACGGTCAACGCTTCCGGTGAGATGGACGAGTTGAAGCGCAAGATCAACAAGATGGTCTCCAATCTCCGGGACAGTATTCAGCGTAACACGGCTGCTAGGGAGGCGGCCGAATTGGCCAACCGCACCAAGTCTGAGTTCCTGGCAAATATGAGTCACGAGATCCGGACTCCCATGAACGGTATCATCGGTATGACGCAGTTGACGCTGGATACGGACGACCTCAAGCCTTATACCCGCGAGATGCTGAATGTTGTACACAATCTTGCCAACAGTTTACTGACCATCATTGACGACATACTCGATATCTCGAAGATCGAGGCGAACCGCATGGTCATTGAAAGCATTCCATTCACTGTGAGGGGAACCGTCTTCAATGCTCTTAAGACTTTAGCGGTGAAGGCCAATGAGAAATTCCTCAGTCTCACGTACCAGGTCGACAACACTGTTCCTGACTATGTCATCGGTGATCCTTTCCGCCTGCGCCAGATTATCTTGAACTTGGTCGGCAATGCAATCAAGTTCACTGAGCATGGTGAGGTGAAACTCACCATCTGCAAATCCGATAGAGAGCAATGTGCAGCCGACGAGTATGCCTTTGAGTTCTCAGTATCCGATACAGGAATCGGTATTGAGGAGGACAAGCTGGATCTCATCTTCGACACTTTCCAGCAAGCGGATGGCTCGACAACGCGGAGATTCGGTGGAACTGGTCTTGGATTGTCCATCTCAAAGCGCTTGGTGAACTTGATGGGTGGTGATGTTTGGGTCACGTCCGAGTATGGTCACGGCAGTACATTCCATTTCACCTGCGTCGTGAAATTAGCCGATCAGTCTTTGAGTGTCATTGCGTCGCAACTCATGCCGTACAAGCACCATCGGGTCCTCTTCATTGACAAGGGAGAGAACGGTGGTCAGGCCGAGAATGTTACGAAGATGCTCAAGCAGATCGACTTAGAGCCTATTGTTGTGCGCAATGAGGACCACGTACCGCCACCGGAAATCCAAGATCCCTCTGGCAAGGAGTCCGGCCATGCTTACGATGTGATTATCGTGGACTCTGTAGCGACTGCCCGACTGCTGCGGACATTCGATGACTTCAAATATGTCCCTATTGTCCTCGTCTGCCCCTTGGTGTGTGTCAGCTTGAAGTCCGCCCTTGACCTCGGTATCAGCTCATACATGACGACGCCATGTCAACCAATTGATCTCGGCAATGGTATGCTGCCTGCTCTGGAGGGCCGTTCCACGCCCATCACGACCGACCATTCTCGCTCGTTTGACATTCTCCTGGCGGAAGACAACGATGTCAATCAGAAATTGGCCGTCAAGATTTTGGAGAAGCACAACCACAACGTGTCTGTTGTCAGTAACGGTCTCGAGGCCGTCGAAGCCGTGAAGCAGCGTCGCTACGATGTCATCTTGATGGATGTGCAGATGCCGGTAATGGGTGGATTTGAAGCCACCGGAAAGATCCGTGAGTACGAGAGGGAGAGCGGCCTCAGCCGAACCCCTATCATCGCGTTAACGGCGCACGCCATGCTGGGCGATCGAGAGAAGTGTATCCAAGCCCAGATGGATGAGTATCTGTCCAAGCCTCTGAAGCAGAACCAAATGATGCAGACCATCTTGAAGTGTGCTACCCTAGGTGGTTCCCTTCTGGAAAAGAGCAAAGAATCGCGAATCTCCAGCAGCGGCGAGATGCATCCCGTCCATCACAGCCCCGCCGATGGCAAGCATCAGCGCCCAGGTATGGAGGCGAGAGCCTTGACCGCATCAGGCGCCATGAACGGTGGTAGTCTGGCAAGCCCGACTCTGGAGAAGGAAGACCTGACCATGGAAAGGGTAAGTTGCTCACGGCATATAAAAGTTTGCTCATACTGACCAAGCACACAGGCACTGTTGCGGTCCAACAGCTCGTGAGACGATTTCAAGATTCTTCCATTCCGCTTGTTTTTTCCTTTTTCATCTTTCGAGTGGCTTCGATACAAATCATATACCCTATCCCTTTGCGCGCCTGTACGAAATGTTCACTGGCATAGTGACTTCTACGTCTTTCATTCAACATTCCTCCATCGCATCATCTCAGTTGCACATGTGAGTTTTGGGAGCCTAACTCACTGAATTTCATGTGCGACTGAACATACCCAGCTCTCGCTATTGTCTCCCCCTCCCCTGTCTCCTGCTTCTCGGTCGAATCCTCCATCTTTGCATACGTCTGGTTGCGAGTAACCATTGTCGACAGTTCTAGCCTTGGCCATTTATGCGTTGTATCTGACACGTTTTCGCGTATACTATATCTTTTGTCTGATCTCGGATTGTGATTGTGACCTGTAAGGCCCATGTGTCTCTGTGTGGTGTTTTGTGGCGCATGGAAATTTTATTCTATGACTTAGTGGGAGCGAGAAGGGATGGAGGGAGAGGCGGCGCGGGCTGCTCTTTTCAATTTCTGTCCTGAACTATACTACATGTTCGCATGGAATGAAGATTGGCATGAGTTTGACTCCGCAACCACACCCACCAAAAAATCTCCCTGTATGTCTGTAACTGGTTGCAACTTTTTTGTTACTCTTGCATATGTTTCTCTCCACCTTTTCCACTTTCCACCAGATTAAGTCTTTATTATATTGAGGTGTTTCCGGCATCACCCTTGATGTTCTAGCCCTTTTTTTCCCGTCTACTCTATTTTTCACATCTGGGGATGTGCCATTCTTCCTTCTCAAAATCTGTATTGTATTTAAACCTATATTACTTCCCTTCGCTTCTAGCCCCATCAGGAGATAGGATTTGAGTCAGATACTCAATCTATATTTGGACTGAACAAGTGTATCATTACATGGATTTCATAGGCACCATGGGTATCGCAAGCACCATAGAGACTACGAAATACTATGAATATCACTACCTACGCACCATAAATATCATAAACCACCAACTTACAACCCGGAAGACGAGGAACGAGCTAGCTATAGCCTGGCGTGGCGTGACGTGCATTGAAGAAGGAGCCAACTTTTTTTTTTAAATAACCGCGACCCCTCCATTATTGAAGAGGATATCAGATTCGAGTCCAGACTCGAAAACAGAGAGATAGTAGCAATATCAGAAGAGAAGAAACGAGGAAACGAGGAAACGAGGAAATCAAGCGAATTACATGATCATAATCATTCACCAATGAGCGTTTGTTCGCTACCCCCAAGCCCCAGCGATACTACGGACCCAACACACACCGCCCTTTTGACTTTCGAAGATTTTCAAGTGATTAGATCAGATCATACCAAGACGTCGCCAAGGTCCCGCCGAATCACGGGGAATCGGAACTCGTGGTGGCGTGCGGCTAGGTGTCCCGCTGGTGCTGCTGGAGCTGGAGCTGGAGCAGGCGGGTGTGGTGGTGGCTGTGAGGGACGGGATGACGACGACGACGACGATGATGATGGTGACGCCCGGGAAGAAGAAGGTGACGGGGCGAAGAATGATCCCGTTACGGTGGTGGAGGAGATGTGTGTGGGCGTTTGAGTGGAAGAAGAGGACGGTGAAGGAGGAGGGGCCGGGGGATGCGGTGGTGCATGTGATGACGACTCAGATGGCTCTTCTTCTTCGTCTTGCTCGATTTCGGGTGGGAAATGGGGCATGGGGAAGGGGATGGGCATTGTTGTGGGAAGTGGAGGGTGAAGGAAAGGGAGAGAAGTAGGGGGGATGGGGAAGGAGGTGGGAATCGGGAAGGTTGCGGGTGGTGGACGGGGAAGGGAGGTAGGGATTGGCGCGGAACCGGGGCCCGGGATGGGAAATGCATGGATGGGGATGATGCTGCTGCTGCTGCTGCTGCTGCTGGATGATGGGATCTTCGATAGGGTTGTCCGTGACGGTCGAATGGTGCGGCTGCGAGTGCGAGTGCGAGTGCGAGTGCGCGTGCGTGTGGTGATTGTGCGTGTTGGTCGCGGGGTTTTTGTTTCGATACCGCCGCCACCACTTGTGACACCAGGGCTGGGATGGAACCCAGGGATAATGCCTTGGCTTGCGATGGAGAGGATGGAGATTATCCCGCTGCTCGGCGGGGGCTGTACTGGCGCAGTGGAGGAGGATGCCGGGATACAGATGGGGAGGTCTTCGGGGAGAACGCAGATCAGGATGTCTTCTTCTTCCTCTTCCTCCTCCTCTTCGGCCTCCACTTCGTCGTGGTAGGTGTTGGGAGCCGCGCTTGGAGTCGCGCTTCGAGTGAAGCTGGCTGGTAGGACACCGCTGCCGTGGTTGATTAATGCATGTCTTGGGGTGAGGATGTGCACTGTAGTTCGGCTGCTGCTGCTGCTGCTGCTGCTGCTGCTGGAGCTGGAGCTGGAGCCGCTCACGGTTACTGTGACCGTGTGGACTGAGGGACAGGGTGGACACTGCACAGATGGGCATGCAGGCTCGCTTTCTTTCGGCCAAGGCGTGGGCTCGGGCAGGATCTTCGCCGAACTGCTATCGGGAGATGCAATCTTGCTAGGCTCTGAAACCGGGAGGGAGTGAGTGGGGTGCACGACGCCTCCTGACGAGGTAACGTGAATACTGCTGCTGCTGGAGAGAGGAGGACGTGGGATATGCTCGGGAGTACCGTCATGAGGTGTAGGTGTTTCCGGGACGCCGTCGTGAGGCACGGAGGGGAATGGGTGTGGTGGAGGTATAACAGGCTCAGAGGCGGAAGGCACCACTCCAAGGGGGATGTGAACAGTCTCGGACGACGTGAGTGTAGCCGTCAGTGAGATAACTGGGGGGAATGGGTGGATTGGACGAGCATCTTCATGGTCTCCGTCTCCATATGCAGGTATGGCACTCGGTGTGGCTGAGTGAGATGGATGCACGACACTTTCAGAAGAGGAAACGGGCGTGCTCGAGGTGGAGTTCCCTCCTTGAGATGCAGACACAGAACTGGAAGATTTGGTTCCTGTTGTGGAGAGAGACCCAGGATTTCCTGCAAGGATTCCTGGATACTGAGGAACAGCTGCTACGCGGGGGCCAAGAGCCCAGAAGGTCAAGACCACTGCTAGAATCTGCTTGGAGGAGGGCATCGTAGGCTGGCAATAATGTTGATCTTTCCAAAGGATGTTTACCGAGGGCAAAACGTGAAGCAAGGCTGGCAGGCCAGACCGTCTCATGTCATGGAATCAGTGGCATATATAGGAACTCTGATGACTTTGTCTATATGTAATCCGGGAAGCGATGTGTAATTTCCTTCCAACCCCTCAGATTAAAAATCCAATGAGCTTAAATTGCTCATCATGACAACAGGCATGTGTGATGGCTGGCCGCCGTAGGTTTGTTGGGCAGACCTCGTCGGAAGTGAAGTCCGCAAATAGACGTCCGGCTCGCCTCATGGTATCGCGAATGGACAGCTGCATGCATATCTATACCTATTGTTTCTGCGATGTGGCTCAAAGCCTCCAAAAATGATATTATTTATTAGACTGGGAAGTAAGATTGATACCCATCTATGTCATAGTTTAGTAGATCACGAAAGCCTGGCGCCAGCCGACACGGACCAACTTGGCTGCAGTAACGCAAACAAGACCAAGGGCATAGCAGCAGATTGTAAAGGTGATGAGACCCCAGTATTTCCCATTGCACCGGGAAAGAATCACACCAGCGATAGGCATGCCAGTAAGGGTTCTGGAATTCTCGTCATTAGCCCTGCAAAATCCTTATTAGACAGTGGGGAATCGCCTTACCCAAAACTGACGATCGTGTACGCTGTGGCATAGTATCTGCCGTAATTCTCAATCTTGCAGAGCTGAGAGATACAGACTGGCGTAAGACTGATGTTACTGCCGCTTGCAAATCCAAAAATGACACAGTACACAATCATAACCGGGACACTGTTGCTCGCTGGAAGCCAGAGGCATGCGTTGCATACAAGACACAAGGCAACAGTGACGATGAGAGTATTGAAGCGGCCCAGATAATCAGCGACAAAGCCAGGAATACCTCGTCCGAAGAACGAACCAGCGTTCAAGATCGCGAGCATCTGGTACGACAATTTTGTCGACACGCCATTATCCAGTGCGTAGGAGGAGATATAACTGATTGGGACGAAAAGACCCCATTCGATAAAGAAGATCCCCAGGGTTGTGAGAGTGAATACAGGATCCCGAAAGATACGGAAGTCGGGAAGAACGTTTTCTTTCGAAGCCGGTTTCTTGGGCAACCGGGATTTGATGAGCAGGCATGCTGCTAGCAGCGTGACGAGACAAATGAGAGCAATGACTCGAGTTGCCCATGCCCACCCTATTTTGGGGAATAGAGCTTCCAGTGCCAGGGGGAAAATGACGCCACCAACGGAGCCACCCGTTGCGGCGATGCCCGTCGCGATTCCGCGCTTCTCGTTGAAAAAGTGTCCGATGGCAGAAATTGCTGGCGTAAACAGCAACGAGGCCCCGATACCCCCTGCGACACCTATTACTAGCATGAAGTGCCAGTACTGTGTGCAAAACCCCAAGGCGATCATCATCGCCATGATCAGCACAGCTCCGGCGCAGACAAGAAACCGGGGTCCTTTAGCATCGAAGATAGGGCCTATCTGGATGCCGCAGAAGAAGGTCAGGAATGCGTAGACGCCAAAGATCCACCCGATGTTGCCAGAGCTGTAGTCCTTCAGTTGGTGGCTCTCAATGTACGCCTGTAAAGTACCGATGGTATTCACTAGACCAAGAGAGCCAACGAGGCCCATGAAGCTCCCAAAGACTACCAGCCAGGCTTCTAGTCCACCTTCAGGATAGGTGTTGCCATCGGCATCAGTCGTTCCGACAGTCACTGGGACACTATGCGCTGAATCGTCCGAAGGAAATTCGCCAGTTGAAGGCCTGTATAGACCGCCTTTGAGCGACGTTGGTGCACCTTGTGGGAGGCCATCGTTGATTAGGGTGTCCGGTTGTTTCTCCTCAAATGCTGGGGTTGTCGTTTCACTCAAGTCATTGCGCTGCGTGGTGTGTGCAGTTGACTCGACGCGCGCATTGTCCGAGGACTCGAAGTTCGTCGCCATATCAATTGCGGTACCGGCGGCAAGGTGGACCACAGACGATTCAGAGGGGGAAGCTTATTTCGTTCCCGTGTTTTCAAACGGCCAGTATAAAAGTTGAAAGAGATACAGCGGGGAAAGGGCAGATGGAAGGCACCAGGAATTAAGTAGAAGTTCTACAAGGAAAAAGCAACCCTCCACAGGACAGTCTGCCACCAGTCTTCAGGTGTAAGCAAATATGCCCGAACGAAACAACCAGGTACCCTGGGAAAGCATGGCGGCAAAAGAAGAAAAAAAAAGTGGGAAGAGAAAAGGTGTGGATGGATATTGGATACTAAGCTAGCCGGACAACCGATTAGTGGGTGGTATCCAGTGCTCCACAGTGGGGAGAAGGTTGTTTGCTTGGGCCTCTCTGCTTCTTCTCTCATACTGCACTTACTATGAGCAATTACTCCACAACTTCAGAGTCTCAGACTGACCACAAATCATGTATCATGGTGATAGACCGCTGAGAAGCGAGGCCAATGACCCTGTCGAGTCGGTTTGTAAGAGTTCAGGGTCTGGCTGTGTCTGCTCTCTTGGCGAGGCAGAACATACGCTAAACGCCATTGGGAAGGTGGAACGAGAAAGAGGAGATCGAAGATGAACTGTATCCTGGAGTCAGCAACCAAACAGGCTTGTGACTCATACTTAGAAACTCAGAAGACAGACAAAGGAGAAGAAGAGATGGAAGGGAGGCAGAGGAGCGGTGGAGGTTCTAAGATCGAAACTGAGGGAGCCTTGAACCTGAGGACATTACGTAAGGTAGGGTCCTAACACTGGCCTTTTTGGGCAGGGGTGCTTCAAGCCCTGAGCCTGTGCTGCTGTTACTCCAAGGTAAGTAGTCTGTCTTATCATGCAGTTTGTTTCATATTCTCTTTCCCTTGTTCAGGTTGCTGTACGAGCCCTGTCACCGACCACCATAGGCTCATCAACGTGCAAAGATTGGACCAGGATGCTAGTATTGCACAACAGAGGAGGTGAAGGATGTGCAAGTAGCCGTAGGAGTAGGCGCCACATACTAACACTCGATACAGAAGGAAATGAAGCCCCATGCTGTGTGACTGCTCACGTATGGCTGTCAGTCACCACCATTGCCCTGTTCAACGTTTGGGCATCTCGGCTCCGGAAGTAGCACATCCCCAACTGTTCAACATGTTCGAGTGGGATGATGTCCCTGTAGTATCAAGGCAGGCTTTTTCGCATTCGAACCCTTTACGATGTTCTTTCACACACTGTGTATACCTGAATCACCCATATTTGTAGTATCGCACCCCACGATGGCTGGTATCATGCCAGACATTCCAGGACCGCACATCAGCGAGCAACCAGTTACACTCCGCAACTGGCACCGCCATATTGCTTGGTTTAACACGACTTTTATCATTATAATACCGTTATTTGGCTGCATTGCCGCTGTCTCCACACCCTTGCGACGACCGACTGCCATCTGGGCTGTGCTCTACTATATTTGGACTGCGCTGGGTATTACCGCGGGCTATCATCGGCTTTGGTCACATAGAACCTACGAAGCGTGAGTTCTTCTCTGTGTATGAACTGGCTCCAGAGCTCCGGCAATTTGTACATATGAGCATGACTGTTGACGGGCATTCCATCTTCAAGCGGCCTACCGCTCAGAATTTTCCTGGCCTGTGCCGGTGGAGGCGCCGTGCAAGGCTCGATTCGCTGGTGGAGTGCGAAACATCGTGCCCATCACAGATGGACTGACACAGAGAAGGACCCCTACAATATCCGAAGGGGCCTCTTATACTCCCATGTGCTATGGATGATACTGAAGCAGGACCCCAAGCACTGTGGTCGGCCAGATAACTCTGACTTGAACGAAGATCCAGTAGTCATCTGGCAGCATCGCAATTATATCAGATTTGTGCTTGGCTTTGGTTTGATCCTACCGATGGTCATGGCTGGCTTGGGGTGGGGTGACTGGAAGGGTGGCTTGGTGTATGCTGGCATCTTGAGGATGTTCCTATTCCAGCAGGCGACGTTCTGTGTCAATTCATTGGCGCATTGGCTGGGAGATCAGGCCAGTTCTCATGTGCATTGGCGAAGGAAGCCTGATCTGCTGACAAGCTCTAGCCCTTTGACGACAGGAACTCGCCTCGCGACCATATTTTTACCGCGTTGGTCACACTTGGTGAGGGCTACCATAACTTCCACCACGAGGTAAAGCTATCCGCTTGAGGACCGGATACCAATTCGAGATTTTTAGGGATCGTTGATAGTAACTTCTGGGTTGCTAGTTTCCCTCGGATTATCGCAACGGCATTGAGTGGTGGCAGTATGATCCCACCAAATGGGCTATATGGACCTGGTCCAAGTTCCGTCTGGCCTCGAACCTCAAGCGATTCCGCACCAATGAGATTGAGATGGGCCGTGTGCAACAGATGCAGAAGAGACTTGATCAGAGGGTAGCCACTCTCAAATGCAGTATTCCTCCGAATTAGCTGCAGGTAGTCGACCGCAATCAATTTGTCGTAGATGTGCGGAATGGAAACGTGGTGATTGCTGTTCCGGCTCTGCACATGACGCGACAAGAACCGTCTGTTAAATTCTCATGGGAAGGGAGCTGCTTTTTCGAATGTTAGCCAGAGCATGTGCACAAGCGGATTTTGACATTGCCAATTGAGGTACAGCCCCTTTGTATGTATTGGTGAGGAGGAAGGGAAGGAGGAAGAGGGATGATCTTAAGGGACATCATTGCAATTGGACGAACATGGGATTGTTCTGCTTAGAAAGTCTCTTGACTGGTCAGTCTAACACATTGTGCTGGAGCCTAATGATGATTGTAGATGACCTGTGGTTTTCATTCCACCCGTCGAGCCAGGTTCTTATGGAGCGTGTATCAGTTTTGGGTGTCCTGACACATAGACCCAGTTGAGGCTTGAAGTTGAAGTCATACCGTAGAGCTCGTTCCAGAACTTCATGTCTTTGTATACGTTGTTAAACCTGAGCAAACATTTCTGCTTGGGAATATCCGTCATTCGTCCGTTGACAAAAACATGCTGACGGCTTTATTGACTTCGATCTGGGGTACCGCTGTGTAGGTAGAACTGGTTTCGACGTTCTCAACAGAAGGACTTTTGCAGGCGGGTTTTATTTTTGCCTTTAGGAATCATTTGGCAAAGTGAACTGTGCTTCATCTAGAGCTGGAGATGCACCACTGAAGTGCCAACTGAGTGAGAGTTCACGCCATTCAGCGATCAATGAAAGTGCTTAACTTGATATTGACCGTGATGGTACCCGCAGCCTTTGAGGAATATCTGCCGGAAGTCAAAGCCTCGACTGCTAGATCCAATCGTATACTTCAACCCATAGCAACAGAAGAACGCGCGTATTCGCTTTAAAAGACAAGAGCTTGGAGTATATTGTAGCGGAAAAAGTGCTTGTTTTGACCGGAAACACAGCGGCTATTTTTTCCTGCAAACACGAAGGCCGGATCCCGGCGAAAGCTTGTCCTCGGCCCAACCACTGCAGTGCAGTTGTCGGCATTCCCATCGCGGCTAGACTATCCCCGTCGTACTCCGTCCCTCCTCCGTAACTCGCGAGACACCGCGATATTAACCACGAACCCATCACATCATCCCGCCTTGGGAAAATGAGGAGAGCAAGGTTTGAGCCAGTGACTGCTCGTCTTTCTAATTGTCTTATCTGTGCAAATTCCATCACGTTATCACCTTCCTTGACGATCGCTAGCATTGTCGGCACTAAGCGGCCAACAATCCCGTTTGTGTATTAGCCCGGAGAATTCTCCACAGCTTAGGGACCTATCGCTTCCGGCCGGAACTGAGCATCAAATGCTACCTGATCCTGTCTTCATGTCCATCGCTGTGTCTACCGTCTGATCCAGCCGCACCCTTGCCAATCGAATGCTTTCTTTCCCATATCGCCCACTGCACCTAGTGTAATCAAACCAACCCGGAGATAGAATTTGGTACGGCGTAAGCAGTACATATCCCCGACGCTGCAAGGTCCGGTGCCTGAAAACAATCGGCAACGGTGAGGAGATAGCCGAGCACCATGCAAGGTCCCATTCTGCCTCTGCCTGCCAGAAGTCTTGCAAGCTATCAGAAGAACCAGTTAGTCTGTCCACGCTTCTCCACTTGGTCATATGCGGCCCTCTCAAGTCAAGGCATCGATTGAAGCTTTCTCCGAACCTAAATGGCTCCACACGATGACCGTATCAAATAGCTCATCACCCTATCTTGCTTGATAGGTAGTACAGCTTGAGTGACATAAATACCCCTCTTTCTCTTGCTCAGACTCAAGAACAGCCGAGCAAGTTTTTGTCCCAAGGCTGCATCCCACATTACACTACCCAGTATGCTGTTCCGTAGTCTACTGTCAACGGCTGTCCTAGCCGCCTCATTATGCGCGGACCATGCATCTGCTGGTAAACTTGGCCGGTTCGCTCAAAGATCTCGCGACGCCAAACCGGCCAAGCGCGCAGCGGAGCTTGCGAAGAGGTCTCACTCGACCCCTGTTGAGGACTATCGGTTCTACAACAACGCTACGCAGGGTATGGAGCCCGGCGCAATGATCAAAGAACAGAGCTGACTTGGGTCTCAGCCTTCCGTGTGAAGAGTCTCCCTGATGTTCATTACGACATCGGTGAGACATACTCTGGATTGATCCCCATCGAGAAGGACGATCCGTCAAGAGCACTTTTCTTTGTCTTCCAACCTACCGTCGGTGCGCCTGTGGATGAGGTCACCATTTGGTTGAATGGCGGCCCTGGGTGTTCGTCTCTGGTTAGTTCCTGGCCTTATTATTGTTTGCATAGATGCACTACTGATGCGTTTACAGGAGGGCTTTCTCCAAGAGAATGGACGGTTCACTTGGCAGCCTGGAACATACTTGCCGGTTGAGAACCAATACTCATGGGTAAACCTGACTAACGTGCTGTGGTAAGTTGCCATCTCTGATATCCCACCAGAGGCACCTGAGCTAAGCCAGCCGTTTAGGGTCGACCAACCTGTCGGCACGGGCTTCTCTGTTGGCACCCCGACTGCAGTGTCGGAGGAGGAGATCGCACAGGACTTCATTAAGTTCTTCAAGAACTGGCAGCAGACCTTCGGCATCAGAAACTTCAAGATCTACGTGACTGGCGAGAGCTATGCAGGCCGCTATGTCCCTTATATCTCGGCTGCCATGCTGGACGAGAAGAACACGGAGTACTTTGACCTGAAGGGTGAGTGCCTCCAAGAAGTTCGAGAACGAACCCGTTTGACTGATTACCCCAAATGCAGGAGCATTGACCTACGACCCTGTCATCGGACAGTTCGACTATGTTCAGACCGACGCCCCGGTCGTGCCCTTCGTTCAGGACAACAAGGTCCTCTTCAACTTCAACGCCAGTTTCCTTGCCGAGCTGGAGCAGCTCCACGAGTCGTGCGGCTACAAAGCCTTCATCGACGAGTACCTCACCTTCCCCGCCAGCGGGGTGCAGCCCCCGAAGAGCATGAACTACTCGGGCGACTGTGACCTCTGGGACCTGATCAACGACGAGGTCCTGGGCAACAACCCCTGCTTCAACCCGTACGCGATCAACGAGAACTGCCCCATCGTCTGGGACGTGCTGGGCTTCCCGACCGAGGTCGAGTACACCCCGCCGGGGGCGACGGTGTACTTCGACCGGTCGGACGTGAAGCGCGCCCTGCACGCCCCGGCCAACATCACCTGGTCCGAGTGCTCGAACGAGAGCGTCTTCGTGGGCGTGGGCGGCCCCGAGGGCGAGGGCGACCTGTCCGCCAACCCGATCGAGCACGTCCTGCCGCAGGTCATCGAGGCCACCAACCGCGTGCTCATCGCCAACGGCGACTTCGACATGGTCATCCTCACCCAGGGCACCCTGCTGTCCATCCAGAACATGACCTGGAACGGCAAGCTGGGCTTCGAGACCGAGCCCGCCACCCCGATCAACATCGAGCTCCCGGACCTCCAGTGGGACCCCATCCTGGGCGGCGCCACCGGCGGCCAGGGCGACATGGGCATCCAGCACTACGAGCGCGGCCTGATGTGGGCGGAGACCTACCAGAGCGGCCACATGCAGCCGCAGTACCAGCCCCGTGTGTCGTACCGACACCTGCAGTGGCTGTTAGGGAGAATCGATAAGCTGTGAGGCATCCGCCGGAAACTTGAACCCCTAGTCCATCCTGTATAGCTAGTATATATATGATCTGAACCTCATCAATGTACACGATAAAACAAATGAGAATCTGATATCGTCCAGAAGGATCTTTTTTCCAGAAAAGTCCACATCCTCCCGGGACGATCCCGTCACAGCCCTCCAGTCCAAGCGCCTAGGCTAGGTCAAACATTCGGGATATACGTCGACTTACCCCTTTAGGTAAAGAAACACATACGCGCAGCCATTTCCCCACGGACAGACCCCTGCCCTACAGTAAAGTCCTGCCCAGTGAAACAAGCTTAATCGACTTGGGACCACGAACCCCTCTCCGATCCAGCAGTAAACAACACCCCGTCTGCGATATCATATTGACATTGAAACCCGAATAGGGAAAAGCCCGTATCACTCCTAAGTCCCTATCGCCCATGTATCTTCCAGAAGGAGTAATATCCAGCCACATCCCAGAGAACAGGCCCCGAGACCGATAATCCGTAATCAGTATTAAACAACAGCGAGCTAGCACCACTACCACCACCACCGAAACAGGCAATCTATTCCTGGCGAAGCTCACGGCATCACGTTGAAGCTACGCCACAGCACCGCACTCCTACCACAAAAGTGCCGGGGGCAGTACCTTAGCCCTTGTAAAGCCCCGAGGAATAGCTATTGTAGTTTCGGATCATTGTGGCCGCCTGGTTAAGCACAGAGGTTTTGGTTCTGCAAGTACCGTCCATCCTGGATGGGTTTGGGCTTTGCTTCTTATGGGTTGCTGGTTAATGACGTGTGGCTGACTGGCTGTCTTTGCAGGTACTCATGTACCTACTAGATAGTAGTGTTGATGAATATGGTGATGGTGATGGACGATAATGTGGAATGGGTTTTTGTATTGCAATCTATGGTTGATGGACATGGTAATGGATGATAACTATTCAACGGTGTGAGCTAAGTGGTTGGCTAAGTCTGACAGTCGCAGTAAAGTACAGTGCCCGATGTACGTTGTCTGACAGGTACAGGGCCAAAGTACTCAGTGCACTGCATCAACTACCGAGTCACTGACTTATGCTTGTGGCAAGTGCTTACGCTGCTCTGCTTATATACTGTAGCCCAGCACAGCACTGGAAATCGACTAGCGCTGTTTTACTCATACTACCTTAGTGTCGCTCCATAACGTATACAGACTAGTCTTATTCATCTTACGGATAATGGCGAGATTGAAAATTCTCTTCGTTGTTATGCATAGGGACCCTCATATCAGACCATGAATACAACTCATTGTTGGCGGAACAGTCCTGGCGCGGATCATGCCATTGGTAGGTGGATCTTAGCGGAAGGGGGGGAATCCCTATATTCAGTAGAGACGGCTGAGGGTCTGAAAAGATCTCGGAGGGTAAATCTGGGCCGATTTTTACTCATGTATTGAGACTAATCTTGGAGGAAGAAAAGAGGCTGAAACTGAATGACGGTGGCTTACGATAACTAGCTGATTCGCTACTGTATACCTACTCATAGTGGTCTACGGTTACTATGCTCGGGCTCATGTAGCTGACTGGGACAAATCTTCTCTTCCCCCTTCACCCCGGTTCATCTGAGAAATAAACAGAACACATGGGAGCCGAAATTGCACAACGTAAGTCGCAGTCTCGAACAGATTGCGACTCGTGTCCTAGTCCGACATCAGTACGCTAACAGGTCGGGGGAACACATCTTACCCCATACCTCGGGATGTCTTTTGCCCCCCAAGACGGTCCTTTCTGGTTGAGAATGAAAGCTCCATCCGGATTGGCTGGGACCAAGGTATGGCAGTGCCGAGCGAAGTCGAAGAGAAGACCATGGCGAAACAGGCTAAGGGGTCCCTAATCATACTAGACTAGGAGATGCTCGACTTTGGCCCCATCACCATTGGGATTCGGGACGGGTAAATGAGTCCCGGGCCACTTCGGCGGAAAAAGTACCGTCATTGGTCAGGGCGAGACAACGTTTCCCGTCGCTCACTCAACGGATTGCAGGAGTGACTGGAGCAAAGACATTATGCAATATTGTCCAGACTCGTCTCTTCTGTTTCTCTGTTCGGTCGTGGGGCAGGATTGGTGCATTATGACAATTGACTTGAGGGTAGGGGTAGTAGCGGAGGCTCCGGGCTGAGGCATCATGGCTCAAGACGGATGCGGACATGACGAATCGGACCATGACGAAAGGCTGCATCAACATCGAGCCTAAGCCTGCTTGGGAATCCAGCCTCGTGTCGACAGGGTCAGACAAATTGAAATTGTTGACTCGTCGCTGAACTCTTGGCTTAAAAAAGCTCAGTTGGTGCGGGTGGTCGTTCGCATGTGTCCTGTAGATCGTGCACACTTCAGTTGCTTGTCAGATACGCCTGCTGTTCCTTACCTCGTTACCTTGACAGCAAGTATGCGAACCACCCCCTCCCATCCTAATTCCGAGAAGACAATTGCCCCCGCCATGAAGTTAGATCCCAACCGAATCTCGTCGAAAGACCGTGAGCCGACGAAGTTTGGGCAGCGGTAGAATTTGGACAAGCGATTTCGCGGCACCTTCCGAATGTTTTCGAGACATGGGCTTCGGTACCGACGCTGTCACCAGATGGGGTAATTTTACCTCCATGTGATTACCGGTTCTGGATTAGTGCCACCGTGTCTTCGATGACGTAGAGGCCAGGTCAATCTTGGCACGTGGGATTTTTTTCTGGCCCATCTCTTTTCCTTTCAGCTGGTTGATCAATCGCAAGATAGAAATGCGGTAAACCCTGCCTGAACCCCGTTCATGGTCATCACGAGACCCGAGACCCAAGACCCGATGGGCACAGGGCTGGCAACCTGGCACAATCTGAATCAGCGATGCAAGCGATTCATGAGCATGTTCAACGTGTGGTGGATCGTCTTTCCCTGAGGCGGAGCCCGAGGATGGCCGGAGAGTCGGAGGAGACCCAGCCAGCCGCCCAAAGAAGCTTAAGGTCGCTTCCCAGTTCGATTATTTCAGTTGCGACGCCAGGCTCCAGGAAACATTGTGAGCCAGCGGAGTGAGCCACAACGGCAAAGAATGGGTCGCCATGATGGGGTGGCTGTTCCCGTTCGTGGACCCTCCTCCAGTTGACCATGAACTTTCAAAAGATGCATAATGATGGTGGGATGAAGGAGAGGAAGGGAAGTAATAACTATTTCTGTACAATGTTGTCAGTTCTTGCCCTTTTAGTACAAACATCATTGATAGGACCCCAGTGACCTAATCTGCAAGATAAGGAAGAGGCGACTCATTATCAATGGAGTTCTCCTGTCCTGTCTGATTGTTCCTGTTCCCTTTCCATCCATTCCTTTGCAGTGCTGCTTTTAGCGGGCCGTTCTGCAGCCAGCCCAATGCCAAGTCCACTAAAAGCCCCCACCTCCACACCACTTTCGTCTTTTTGGCCAATGAGCATTCAACCAAAAAAGGAGTCGGCGTCGGCCGGCGTGATCTGGGCTGAGCCTATCAAAGCTTCCGCGCCATTCTCCATTCACTCCGCTCCCGGCTACCCTTCACTACTAACCAAGTGCATGTGCTACTACTACTATTACTACTACTACTGCTACTACTACTGTATGTACAATCCCTCAATGTGGCTTGTGAACAACCACCATCCCTTGCAACTGCCCGATTTTATTGTTACTCACTGCCTGCTATTCAAAGAAGCTCAGAGGATCTTGTTGCAACAGAGATTTTCGGCTGGTCGCCTGGAATTGAGCAGCCAATGCTAGAGAATCTGATAATCCTGGGTGACACCGAAAAACTTTTCTCTGCCTTTTGCAATCTTGATGCTGACAGACTTGCTCCACGCTGACTGGCTCATCGGCTGCATAACGACCCATTGTTGTCTTTTGCCCCTCCAGTCCAATGGTCTCTCTACCTATCGATAGCGTACTAGCGTAAAAAAAAAGAAAGTGTAGGGAAAGAAGAGAAGTAGAAGCAAGATGAGGGACAATGCCATCACTCGTTGCTCCTTCTCTGTTGCTGTTTCCTCGACTCCCAAACCGTATATAGACTGCGAATTATTCTCTGTACCCTGCAATCTTTTCTCTTTTTCTCTTCCCTACCACCTCACGGCCCTACCCTCTCTCCTCCTCCTCTTCCTCTTCCTCTTCCTCTTTTCCCACCTTTCCTCCATTGCTAGTGGTTCCTCTCCTTCCTCTCCGCCCCTCCCCCGCAATCCCACCCATCCCTCCTTCCTTCCTATTTCATCCATTTATACCACGGCACCAGCAGTGAAGACGCCCGCCTACTGTTGCGGTAATTGTCTCATCGCCATCAGAAAGCTTCAATTTCACCTGCTTTCCCCGCTCATCCCAAATCTCCCCAAGAGGTTCAGTCTCCCTGTCTGTGACCTCAGCCTTTCCCCCCAGGTTCTCTCGTCCTGTCATATCAGGTCATTGGACTACCGGTTTTTCCAATTTCCTCGCCCCCTGGGCTATCAACATACCATTTACTTCTTCTTGGCCATTTTCAATCATCGCTTGAGCAGTTCTGCTGTACTCTTCGTCACTGGCAGCGACATAGGACCGACTGACCCCATCATTTCCCTCGCGCCAACTACCGCGTGTCCCAGTCCCTCGCGCCACAAACAATACCATTGCGCCTCCCACTTGACCCTTGCGACAATCCGCTTCGTTAGCTTCTTCCCATTCGCGCTCTATCGTCCCGATTCCCAGCCTAGCACCTGCGTCCTGTGCGACTTGAGAAGTAGAACGAATCTCTCCCCTGCCCTCGGTGACTGCAGCCCATTCTACACGGTAGACGAGCCCTCGACAGCGCTTCCTCGGTCCCACAACCGGTCATTAACCCTCGAAATTGACCCGAATTCCAAGCACCATCGTTCCCCGAGCGACAATGCCCTTCGGAATCAACCCCTTCAAAAACCACGACCACAGCGACTTCGCTGGGGTCGTGATCCCTCTCGATCAGGCCCCAATGCGCTCGAGACCCGACGCCCAGACAGCCAAACAAACGGGCGATACTGATGACAAGACTGATGAAAAGAGCCTTGACAGAGCTCCCTCCGAGGAAGCTGGGTTTGGATCCCTCCACAACTACGATCATATGACCATCGAAGCCCTCCGCGCTGAGATTGAGGCCGATCTGGTTGCCACGGGGCAGGACTCTGTCTATGACCGTACGTTACATAGCATTATCCTTCGCGCTAAGAAGTGGCTCCATAACAATCATTCTTCTTATTCGTGTCGATGAGCGAAGGCAAAGCTAAATTATATATGCAGGCAAAGCAAAGGTCATCAACAGAGCCATCCAGGATATTGGCATGGGCCGGTATCAGTGGGAGCTTTTTGCTATGTGCGGCTTCGGTTGGCTTGCAGACAAGTAAGTAGCAAAACGCTTCCCTCTCGCAGTGATCGTGTTGCTGACGCCGGGCCGCTAGTCTCTGGTTACAGGTAAGAGACCAAAGATGGTACCATCCAATGTCTATCATACTAACCTTTCAAGGGCATTGCTCTAACCCTAACACCGATTGCGGAGGAATTTGGAGTTTCCTCCACGCGGGTGCGATTCACCACCTGTGCTCTGTTCTTGGGTCTGTGCATTGGTGCTTCATTCTGGGGTATCGCTTCTGATATAGTTGGACGCCGTCTCGCCTTCAACACGACGCTTTTCTTGTGCAGTGTCTTTGGTGTGGCCGCTGGTGGCGGTCCGAACTGGATTGGGTATGTTATGGCTTTCATGTCTAAAGATAATCAACGATTGATGCTAATCGTTCAGGACTTGTGCCCTCTATTCTTGCTTGGGTCTTGGTGTTGGTGGTAACCTACCCGTCGATGGAGCTTTATTTTTGGAATTCTTGCCTTTTGCTTCCGGAAACATGTTGACCATGCTGAGTGTCTGGTGGCCTGTCGGTCAGCTGATCTCCAGTCTGCTCGCCTGGGCTTTGATTCCCAACTTCAGCTGTGACAGCGGTCTTCCTTCGTGCGGTGACGTCGCAAGTGGGGTCGCTTGCTGCAGCAAGCAGGACAACATGGGCTGGAGATACTTCGTCTTCACCATTGGTGGCTTGACCTTCCTCATGTTTATCTGCCGTTTCTTCCTCTTCCACCTCTACGAATCGCCCAAGTTCCTGCTGGGCCGTGGTCGCCAGGCTGACGCCGTTGCTTCTGTCTACGGCATTGCTCACAAGAACAAGACCAAGACGTGGCTCACCGAGGAAATCCTGAACGAGATCGGCGGTTATCAACAGGAGGCTCAGAAGGAGAAGCTCAGCTCAACCGAGATCGTGAAGAGATATCTTTCCAAGTTCTCTTTCGACCACATTGCCCCGCTCTTTGCCACAAAGAAGCTTGCTATGAGCAGTACGTATTAGCCATTTCAAGTGTAGCTCGTGTGCTTGCTAACATTTCGCCTTAGCTATTCTGCTCTGGTTCTGCTGGACTACCATTGGAATGGGCTATCCCCTCTTCAATGCCTTCCTTCCCCAGTATCTGGCCAACAATGGAAGTGATGGCTCCAGCTCCACTTACATCGCTTATCGGAACTACGCCATCACGTCCGTTGTCGGCGTCCCTGGTTCCATTCTAGCCTGCTATACCGTGGAGATCAAGTACGTCGGTCGCAAAGGAACGATGTGCATCGCGACTCTGATCACCGGCGTCCTGCTCTTCTGTTTCACTGCCTCCACCGACTCGAACGTCCAGCTCGTCTGCTCCTGTCTGGAGGCATTCTTCCAGAACATCATGTACGGTGTTTTGTACGCGTACACTCCGGAGGTCTTCCCGGCCCCCAACCGCGGCACTGCCACGGGTATCTCCTCCTGTCTCAACCGGATTGCCGGTCTCTGTGCTCCCCTGGTCGCCATTTACGGCGGTTCCGCCAGCCCTGATGCCCCCATCTACGCATCGGGTGCATTGATTCTGGCTGCGTTCCTTGCCATGTGCCTGCTGCCCATCGAGACTATGGGCCGGCAAGTCATGTAGAAAACCCACCCTGAAAAAGGAAAACGGCGTCACCCGTGCCTTCTCGATGGGAACCTCATGTCCTCATGTTTATAACCCTGTGTTTGTTGACGATGCAGCATTGATCTGACTCATGATTGATACCATTTTTGTACGATTTGTTTTTGTTGGTTTCTTGGGCGATGTTTTGTGATCCGTGCACAAAGGTGAGGTATGGGTTCGCATGCATCGGTTGGATGTTTTTTATTTTTCCCTGTGATTATGATGTCTGATGGATGGAGCGAAGGCTCCGCTTATACATACTTTAGACTTTTGTGTATAGAATCATGATAGAATACAGAAACCCCCCCAACCCTAAAATGGCATTCTTACGTTACACAACACAAAACCCCCACGACCTTTACATAGCAGATTTTACACACCATTTTGAGTCAAGTGCGGAGTAATATCCAAATACATTCATCTATCATACAACACACATGCCGATCATCAGGTCACTTCATTTACAGACCAAAAATAGGAAAATTCAAGAGAGAAAATTGACGGCAAGTCGGTACTAGTAATCTACGTACCAAAACGCACCTTCTACGCACAAAATTCGTCAAGGAACAAGGCAATCATGTCGAAGACAGCAATGGAAAGGGAGCGAAGGGCAAGAAAGAAGAGGGGAGGAAAGAAACGGTGTAAACCATAAAGTCCAGACATCATTGTTCCTGCGCAGGTATATGTTCATGGACGAGTTGCATCAAGATATATGACATGACAAGATCCAGGGGGGGAAGAGGTTTAAGTGAAGAAGGGGGGGGGGCAGGAGATGTATATGGTTCGATCATGCGAAGAGAGGAGGGCGCATATATCCATCCGTAGTGTAAGTCCGGCTGGCAATCCCGACGAAGAAGGTAGGAAGGTAGAAATGATATGTGTAAAGTGTGGGGAAAAGAAGAAGAAAGGTACCGTATGTTGGGTTGAAAATGGAAGGGAAACTGAAACTTATCAACGCAAAGAGGTAGAACACGCACAAGAAGTTTTATCATAAATGAAAACATAGTAGAAAGTCGAAGAAGAGAAAAAAATAAAAAAGGAACACCCTGAGAAATGCGACCGATTGATTATAAACCACCCAGAGGAAATCAATCCCATTCACCAAGCCAGAGAAACATTGTCACCGTATGCACTGAACTCATAAAAATAGGAACTCGTAGCCCGAAGGCTGTCTCGATTCGTTAAGGACGTGACCTCGGATCGTCGAAAGAAAATTAAGCAACAGGCTGGTGGCGTCGACCGCGTTTCTCTAGGAGAGTTGCATTATCCAGGTTCAGCTCGAAGGGCTCCCGCGCGCCTCGGGCAATGCTCTGCCTTGCAGCGGCGGCCACCTTGGCACTGTGTTGCCCGTAACCTTGTTGCTGTCGGGGTTGATGGGCTTGTCGTGCTTGCGCGGCATGGCTGGGAGCACCACTCAAGTTTGTAGATCGCAATTTCGCCTCCATGGCAGCGACATCACCAGCCTGCTGTGAGGACTTGGGAATCTTGGAAGGGGCAAAATCTTCGCGCTGGACGGGTTGATAGTTGATCTCATCCGGCTCATCGTAGTCTTCGTTCAGAGGGTTCAGCGCCGACCGGAAGTTCGTCGAGGGATTGGCCCCACGATAACCTTGACGGAAGTTCTTGCGACGTTTGCCCTCCTCTTCTTGTCTGTGCACGGCATAACCAACATCGAAGACCTCGCGCAAATTGATCGCTCCAGGAGAACGGAAGTCCATGGGGCGTTCCATACCAGCCGATGGTTGGTCGCCGAGGCGGGCACTGATCGGAGCGAATGGCGCTTGGTCGGCCGCAATTGCATCCAAGGGCTGTCCCTGCTTGCGGGTAGTAAGAGGCGTTGCAAGTGGAGGAGCATCCGCAGCAGCTTCAGTAGCTTCATCGGTGCCACGGATCCAGGGATGGGCAAGGAACTGCTTGATGGTATAGCGCTTCTCCGGATCCACCGTCAGAAGATGAGAGATCAGATCCTGGGCGGACTTGGAAATATCGTCCCACCACGGCGATAAGAAGGTGTATTGACCACGAGCAACCTTTTCAGTCAGGATCTGAATGCTCTCGTCGTAGAACGGCGGGAAACCACAGAGGAGAGTGTAGAGAACGCAACCCAGGGCCCACATATCGACACTCTTGGAGTACCGCTCATCTTTGACGATCTCAGGGGCAGTGTATCCGACTGTTCCACATGGCGTCATGGTTTGGCTGTCCCAGATAACCTTCGACAACCCAAAATCGGCGATCTTGATCAAGCCAATACCACCAGCACCTGTTCCAGGTATAAACTCGCCCTCGTCGACCTTGTCTTCGTCACCGGGCTGGCGAGGTTTGGGGTGCTTGCTCGGGATGAATTCTGTCGGGTAGAAGAGAAGGTTTTCGGGTTTGATATCACTATGACTTCAGTTAGTGTCTTTCGATCATAGAACATATGTTTCTAAATCTCGTACCGATGCACAACTCCGGAAGTCTCGTGGAGATACTCAATTGCCTGGGCGACCTGCACAATAACATGGCGACTGAGCTCTTCACTAAAGTAGGTCAATCTCACGATTTGATGGAACAGCTCGCCACCGGGGCAGAGTTCGAGGATGATATAGTAGTATTGACGTGACTCGGAGAAACTGATCAGCTTGACGATATTGGGGTGATCGAGATTGCGCATGATCTGCACTTCTTTCAGGATGTTGGCACGCTATAACAAGGTCAGTTACTCTGGTTTGTAACACAATGGGTGGCAGCTATAGCAAACGACGCGGAGCGGAACGTTGCAGAGCAGGTGTGAGCGATAGACAGGGATGCCCGATGAATGGATGATGTTATCTAGTGTTTGCGCACCTCCGTAGCTTTGGGTTTCTTTCTGATCCCCGGATGCAGATGGGCGGCAGTCTAGTAGAAAGACATTGGCCAAATGATTCAAAAGATGACAGAGCACAGAACAAAGAACCAAGAAAGAAATCGAGAGAAAGCAGGAAGCGACTGGCAAAAGAGCAAAGAAGATAGCTAGCGGTCCTACCTGGTTGCTGTTCATTTCAAACTTGCGCACCACCTTGATGGCGACTTCCCCGAACTCGCCGGTGGTGTCCTTGGCGCGATAGACGTTGCTAAAGGCGCCATCCCCCATCTTCTCCATCAAGATCCAGCGCTCAAGACCCGGGTATTTAGGCATCTTGTTCCGACTACTCTTCTCTTCGGCGATGATCTGCTCGATCTCGAGTTCGCGAGCGCGCCTAGACTGTGACGAGTCGGAGTTCCGCTGAGAAGGCTGGGCGTTTCCGTTGCCTAGTTTGCTGTCAATGGCGTCGAGGTTGCCGGCAGCGGCGGGATAGGAGCCCTGTGGTTGACGTTGTTGTTCGGCATGGATGGGCGAAACATTGGTGGTGGGTTCGGCATGCGGCGTCACCAGGCGGGCTTGCTTGCCATGACGTATGAAATTTTTGAGATTCTGTATGGTACTCATAGTGCTGAGTAAGGGGGGGGGCAAGGGCGTGGAAAATAAAATGAGATCAAAATGGGAACGGAGAGGGAAGGGAAGGAGAAGGAAAGGTTGGAGGTAAGGTAAGGTAGCAGCAGAGCAGCAGTAGCCGGAAACAAAAGGTGATGATGAAATAGGATTTGAAAAGAGACTGTCAACCAGGAATGGTGCGGCTGTCGTCCGGAAACTCTTTTCTGTCTAGGGTTTCCCTGTCTTGAATAATTTGTCCTCTAATTATTACTTGTTGTGTTTGTGCTCAACAAGGTCTGAGTGTTGAATGTTAGTTGTGTGATTGAAAGAGGGTGAGGAGAGAGAGATTAGAAAGTGGTGGAAGTGATAATGATGACGATAGGGAAATGGGTCGGGAGTCAAGAAGACATGAGATGGACACAGAGAATAGCAAGAGGGGATGACAGGTCCAAGACAGTTGGGAATGGGATTGGAAAAAGAAAAGAAAACAGAGATCGAAGGAAAAAATGCAGGTGGGGAGGGGGAGATTTACCAGGTGATTAAATGCGCCGTGCAGAAGAAGAAAAAGGTGTGCGCGGATGACGGTGGTGGTGGTGGTGATGATGAGTGGGGGGGGGGGGGAGGGGCTAATGATTATCGTAGGGGAAAGACAAAAGAGGTATGAGATAATTTTAATTTAAGGCTGGGCTGATGGAAGGCAACACAGAAGGCGAGAGAAGAAGGCCGTCCAAAGCAGTTTCAGTACCTGAAAGAGGAATTCTAAACGTCTTGCAGCCTGAGAGAGGAGAACGACGAAGGGAGATAGTGGGGAATGGGCCGATACAGTTTCAATAATGTCTTTTAGATTGTTGTTGTGGGAGGGAGAGAGTCAGAATACGGAGGAGCAGGAAGAGGAAGCAGAAGAAGAGGATGAGGGAAAATGAAACAATGCGATGGAAATGAGGATATAAAGTCTAATTCGATCCAGTGCTCCGTAAGCACAACGCCATGGCTTTTTCTTGGTGAGGCAAAGATGTTAGCAGCTGATGAGCTGAAGCAGAAAAAAAAGAGCAAACCAATACGTACATCATCAACGAGAGGAGCAGCAGCAGCATAAACTGACAGTGACAGTGACAGTAACAGAGAGATAGGAGGGAAACAGCGGACAGCGTCATCATCAGCTACCATCAATACCACGCAATACAATGTCCATACCTGAGTGATACACTCCCATCCATACCCAATGCCCCAGTTGGACCCAACTTCTTCGATCAAAATTACCGCCTGACCGAAAACCACAAACAAGATGACGTCGAGGGCTCCCGGAGTATGGTGGCTGAGTCAGCCGCCCAGGGCATGCATCGCATCCCCTCTTGGAGGTCTGGAGGTGATTCCTAACTAAGGCTGGCTCTGTTTGTCGCTTCTTCTTTCCTCGGATCTTTCGTCGTCGCCCTCCTCCTCCTCCTCCTCCTCCTCCTCCTCCTCCTCCTCCTCCTCCTCATTCATTCATTCTCCCCTCCTCCACTAACGGGCAAGTGACGGAACTCAGCGTCATCTCTCGTCATGTTCCCTTCGCGATCGTCGCGACCGTGGTTCTTTCTACTGTTTGGTCTCAACAGAAATAAGATGTCATAGCTCCGCATCTCCGCAATCCTACACAATAGGTTGAACTACAGGTACTCTTCATATAACCCGGGAACGAACAGCCCCAGTCGTTGTCTAGATCTTGATCTGATCCACCATTCACACACGAAGAAGATCCCTGAAACAAGAGATGGCAGATGGATGTCATGGTGATAACGCATGGCGGCTGGAGACAGTAACTAGACTCATCCGAGTACTTAAGAGATCGAATCTTGCTGGCTACCCTTTGCCCCTTGTCTTTCCCCATGTGTCTTCTCTCTACCAATATCATGGGTTAATTCCCGGCCATCAATATCAGCGACTATTTAAGCTTCCCTTCGGTTGAAGCGAGGTTGGTGAGGATTGACCATGGGTTGCGCAGCGCCACTCCCGAGCGACGGCCATGAGAGGATGTCATCGATGATGCAATGCCAGACACAGCGCCTGGTCCGTGGGAAGGGAAAAGTACACTCGGTAAACAAATACTAAGTACCAATCGTGGGGAGGGAGATATTCTGACAGCCAACTGTTAGTGTTGGTAACCTACTCATAGTAAATAGGTACTATGTAGTAAGTAGTCGAATTGGTAGTGCAGGAAATTCCCGTGATGCTGCAGGCTTGGTTGGTGGACGAAATCTCCCCAACTTTTCCTCTTTCTTCCTTTTCTTCCTTTTCTTCCTGTATCTCTTTCAAGATCCTCTTCCCAACCTTTGTGTTTGCCCTTTTCAATTACCTTCGATTTACTGTCCCCTGTCACCCTTTCTCTCCCTCCCTTCCACCCCCCCCCCCCAACCAAAATTCAACTAGCCATACAGATGTATCCCTTAAGTTCAGTCATGTAGATCATCCTGGCCCGACATCGATTGTCCGCAGCCAGTCTCATTGCTTTCTGGAGGGTGTGACTGTCACTATCCGCCTGCCCGCGCGTCGGATCCCGCAACGTGGAATGTCCCTGCAACTCGCGCACTTTGTCTCGTTCTCACTCGCTTTCCTCGGGTCTTTTCGTGCCAACAAGATCGCGTTTTGCGGATCGTGCCTTGCCTGCTGTCCGTTCTTATCTACATACTCTATTTGTAGAACCAGCTGGGACTAAATTTACCTGGCTGTGGGTGTGGGCTGGCCTAGAGCGGGTGTTGGACTTTGTAAGACGCGCATTGGAAGACAGTCACACACACACACACATACTACACTATACATTCACCACACATTCACCACACACTCAACCCTTACGCTGCACCAAATCTCCCTTGCTGGTTAGCATTCATCAGGGTGGGAGAGGAGAAAGGGACCGGAGTTCTTCGCCGTGGAATCTCTTCGGCTCTCTTCTTTTGTTCTCTTTCGCTGTCCATTTACAAGATTGTAGTCCTCCTCCACCAGACCCAACCGAGACACAGCATCACCTCCCCCCTCACCATTCCTACGATATGCGACCGGCACCAAGTTGATTTGAAACTCATTTTTTCCTTAAAAACAAAAACAATAGAAAACAAAAAAAGGGAACCACCAGAACTAAAACACCATTCAAACCCGACCACTGCCCGCTTGTCACTTGGACCAATCTGCCGGACCGTTGGGCCTCCTCACAATGCCCAGCCTGGCGAATGCTGGCACCTCTGTCGCCTCACCAGAACACTTGGATCCGCCCCAGTTGAGGGCCCACAAGTCTCTACGTCGCCGGCCAAATGTTCTCTTGAATTCTCCATCCGCCGCCCAAACAATAAAACCAGTGGGCCACAATGGCCCCCCGTCAGGGACAGCCTCTCTACCACCAGCTCCCGTTCGTCCCTTGACGCCTCCCGCGGTCGCCTCAACTGAAGATTCCAACACCCACGGGGCGCATATCGCAACACCACCTTCTTTACTCTCTGTGAGCGATGCGATAACCCCGAGGCCATCGCATCCTCCCACGCCCGAAACCACCCCTCCTCAAGTCGCAGCCTCGGCTCAGCGTCCGGCCCTCAAGCAACTCGCCCAGTCCTTCTCCTCGTCTCGGGCGGATTCCTTTCGGACTGCGCTGGAAGTTATCTCAGATGCTGGAACTGAAACCCCGTCTCGGTCAGCTCGGTCCTCCTCGTTTGTAACCAGACAGAGCGATCCGTCCGACCACAGCGACACGCGAAGCGGAGAAACAACACCGATACCAACTCATACTCCTAATCGGATGCGTTCCGCGACACCAGAGATGTCCACGGCAGAGAGTCGGCAAGATGCGACACGAAATCCACCGGCACCTGCTCCCCGTCAAAAGGGATCTGCATCTAGCCGTATCGACCGTGACTCAGACACAGCGGAACACCTATTTTACATGGTCGGGTCGGATGCAGACAGCACGGACGTGCTTCCCGTCCGCTCGAAAAGCGTACGAAGGCAGGGGGCTGACTCGCACGAGCCTGTAGGTGGATTGTCAATCGAGCAGTTCCGAGAACAAATCGGCTGGCCCCAGACCGAGCCTATTACAGCCGAGCCAGACGCCTCGCGAAGATTCTCCAATGTGTCCACGACGTCCACCGTTGAGGTTATGATTATTGACTCGCCACGATCAACTCAACGATCACTTCGTCACACTGAGAAGAGGAGCTCTCTCCGCTCAGTCAGCTCTCCCTTGACAAAATCGGAACATACCTCACTGGTCTCTAACCCGGACTCGCAGCATCGGCTGGTTCATAAGAGTGCGCGCATCACAGAACAAGACCGTCGAAGTGTTGCTTCGGAGATGTCGATTTCGGGGGTTTCGACAATGAGCTTTCTCCCGCCGAATGTGGAAATAGTACCGGTGGTGGTGATACCCGAGCGGCGGTCGTCCCTGAAGTCCTCGACCTCGACCAGCCGGAATACCTCCCAAAGTCGCTCCCGACATTCGAGTCGACGAGCTCCGGTCGCCTCGGGCAGCCGCCCAGGCTCGCTGGAACCTCCGCGCCGCAAGGAGCGGACGCTGTCCGATGCGAGCACCAACGCGGACAGGCGGGCGCAATCTCGAGGCCGTAGCGATGGTAGGCCGGTTATCCCCCAGCGTAATTCGTCGTTGTCTGCACCAACCAGCCGCAACAATTCGCGGACCACGTCTCTCACCTCCAAGAGCCTACGGAATCACACGATGGCAATGGAGCAAGAGACGCGAAAGAAGCCAGCGCCACTTCCTCTGTCCCAACCTGAGGGGTCGTCCCACGGCCGGGCTGCGCACGATGTTCCAGAAGCCGCGAAAACGCAGTCCATCATCATCGGTGTCGAAGATATGTCGCATCTGCGGCCGCCATCCATGCCCTATACCCAAGTCTCCATCCAGTCATCATCTCCCGGCGTGATCGAAATCAGTGAAGCGAGGACGATCGCCATCTTCCCGCACAACAACGAGTCATTATTGCTGGTAGAGCCACTATCACAACCTACCGCGCGTGAGCAGATTCCTGATATAGCATCCCAGGACAAGCCCCAAACGCCGGTCCCGTCGACGCAGTTCGAGGTGGAGTCACCGTTGAAGAACCCCCGCCAACCTCCCAAGCCGCCGGTCTGCCAAGTGTCGCCGCCATCGCCCGTGCAAGACGCCAGTCGCCAACTGGGAGCCGCCGTGAGTGAAGCCGAAGCGAATGGACGTCCGGCCCGTCGGTTCGGGTCCATCCGACGTCCGTGGATGGTACGTCCTCGGTCTGATTCTTATAATTCTGCTCTCGAGTCTTTCTCACTGACGTCCGTGAAGAACCGCAAGGCGGACAACCCCGAGATCGACGGGCGCCTGCAGCCCTTCTGGCGACCGCGTCGCTTCTGGGACGACTCGGAGACCGACACTTCCTCCCCCAACGGGACTCCCGTTGAAGACCGACACCACCACGAGCCCGACACGGTGATCAAGAACTCGCTGGGGATGCCGCAGCAGCGGACGGTGCTGGAGGGGCCGCCCATCTCGCGCAACCCGGAGACCCGACGCCGGCTGGCCGGCCACCACCACGCTGCCAACCGCAGCACCCTGGTAGGCAGCAGCCAAGTGTTCACGCCGGAGGCCCTGTACTCGCAGACCTCCCTCCACCACCACCGGTTCCAGTCCCTGTCGTGGTGGCGATTGCGGCTGCGGGCCGGCAAGGTGCGCAGCCTCCGCAAACGCATGCGGCGGGTCTGGCAGCAGCACGGCGAACGTCGACGCGAAGCCAAGCGCGAGAAGCTGAAGCAGAGCATCGGGGACGCGGTGCTGGTCGATTCCAGCACAAGCCCAAGGCCATAGCCGAGGCTGCGCTACCGTTAATTACAATCGACAAATGTTGCATTTTGGCTTAGAGGATTGGATACACAGGTTGATTTTGATGTTACGCATGCTTATGATTTGTTTGTTTTTTTGTTGTGTCATGTTTACGATTGATGATATTGACGATTGACGATACCAATTTTGTTTCTGTCTGTTTTTGTTCTCAACACCGAAGCAAGCCCTCGTTCGTCCCACTTTCATTCTATTCCCAAGATTCAGACCAAGATACCACAAGATAAGCAATTACCGATGACCACAAATGATAACCCCGAGTGCAGCATTCCTATGAACCCTCCCTCTAAGAACAAGCCAGACCTAATACAATACGCAAACCCCTTCCACAATCAACCAGCCCAACTCAAAACAGCACAGACATACAACTTAGAAGCAATCAAAGCATCCCTCGCCCTCTCCCATGCCCATTCAACACCCACCCCAAAACAACCACCTCACATCCCACCCCAACTCACCACAAATAGATATACAAGCATCCCACCTCCACGCAAATAGATAATCAAACAATCCCGACTCACCCACAAGTAGCTAACCAAACACACCCCATCCCCATCCAAAACCCCCTAAATCCCTAAATCCCAAAGAAGATGCCGACAAGACCGAATCCCCATCCCCATCCCAACACTCCAAACCCCCAGTAACCCAGGTACCAACAGAAAAATCACCGCAACCGCCCGCGAACAGCCATCCCCCCAAACTCCGCCTCCCTGGCCCTCTTCCTTCGCCGCAACTCCTCACTCTCCTCCACCCCCGGCCCTACTTGTCGTGGTCCACCCCCATCCCCGCCCCCAGATCGTGCAGCATCAACACTCCGCATCCGCATCCGCATCCGCTCCCAACACCCTGGATCAAGGAACGGCTGCGGCGCGAGCGCGAAGTTGAATTCCGTGTCTCTTCTGCTTCCTGCTTTGTCTCTGGATGCGGGGTTGGGGTTGGGGTTGGGGTTGGGGTTTGAGGATGGGGATGTGGGTTCGATGAGAAGGGAAGGGGGACGGGTGGTTGTGTTTGGGTTCGGTGAGAGATTCTTCATCTTCTTTGGGGGTAAGAGAGCCCGTTTCTGCGGGATGAGGAGGGAGGAGGAGGCGGGGCGGGTTGTTTGGAAGTTGGGGGATTGCGGGTTGGAAGGGGTCTGGGGTTGGGCTTGGGCTTGGGGCATGATGGGGCTGGGTCTTGGGTTTTGGTTGGTTTGGGGTGGTTTGGGGTATTGGAGGGGCTGGTCTAGGAGGTGAATTTAAGGGGAGTATTAACTTAAAACTTGCTGAGTGTATGTGAGGGTAAGGGTTTACTGGGTGGATGGTTGGTTGGTTGGTTATCGATGGCCTAGAGGTTCTGAGGTGGTGACGTAGACACGTGATCTTATACTACACACAGCACCTGCACCTAACAAGTATTGCCACGGTATCTGAATCGGATGTAGTTCGGATTAGAAATCGAACCTGGCAAATAACGTCCGATGATACTATGTAATATATACAGCAAGCCATTCGCCCGTCAAATAAGCATCGATCGATGCATTCATCGTTTGTAAAAACAGGTATCACATGATTCAAGAAGCAGCAACAGCGGCAGCAGCAACGGCAACAACAAAACTCCATCGATCCCTGTCCAGCTTATTCTCACGGTGGACAACCTTGTCATCGTCATCCCGCTAATTATGGTACACATGAAAAAGAAAAAGGTCATAAAATTTTAGAATCGACAGCCCCCACACCACTACGCCATCCCTTGCGACTCCATCCCGGATATCGTGGAATAGGAATATGGCAGGTCGACCAATCCATCCAGAAGCCAGTTCAGTGGATCGAAGACTTCATAGTTCGGCTCGATAAACCCGCTGGGCAATGCCCCAACGCCACCGCTGGGCGGCACGCTGATGCCGGGCTGCGGGAGCAGAGGCGCAGGCGCGAGACTGGGGTCTGCACCGCCTACCCCGGGCGTCGCGGTCGAGGTGCGCGTCGGTCCGGTTGACGATGCCGACGATTCGGCGTTGGAATCTGGGTTGGTCGGGTTTTTGAGGCACGCTGCAAGCCGGGTCAGCTTTGAGTCACCCGACGTCGAGTTGGTGACACATACCTTCGATATTACGCCCCTTGGTCCGCGCATCCTCTCGCCACCGCCACACAGAGTCGAACAGAAGAGACATGCTCATCCGGCATCGTACCTTCAGCATCAGGGAGTCGTCAATCTCACTGCCGTCGGGCCCGAACTTGGGCGTCGGCGCATTTCCCAGTCGCCACATCTGCGCCAGAACTTCCGCCAGCCGCTCGGGGAGATCGTTGCTAGACACCGATACCCCCCGAATGGCCCAAATGGTCCGGTTGAAGAGGTTCTTGGCATAGTCCATGTCAATGTGGGCTGCAAAGAAGCTCTTGCAGAGTTTCAACAGAGTGCAACCTCCCGCAACCATCATCTGATACACGTAGTACGGGGTGTAGGAGAGCACGGGCCCAACTTCGGTCTCCAACGTCATTGCAGCCTCGAGGAAAGTAGTTGCGGCGACGTAAAGCGAGAGAAGGCGTTCTCGGTAATTCTTGGCCGTAGTATCGTCGAAGAAAGCCGACAGGTGGAGATGGAGATTCGATGCGCGCAGGAAGAGATCAGTGATAGCTACATAGGTTAGAGAGTCTTCCATGCGACCGGATTTAGGGCCTTACGGTCTCGTTGCGGCTTTAGTTGGCTTTCCAACTCGTCAAAGTCTCGAGAGAGAAACGAGATCAACGCCGATCTCTCCTTATCACTGCAAAGCCCGACAGGGTCCCGGCGATTTTTGTAAAGTGACCTTGTAATCTTGTCGCAAAACTTTTCAATCTCCAGTCGGGGTTTCATGTCCTCCGGCAACTTGAAGTTGGGATCCATGGACTCGTTCGAAGACAGTGTCCAATCATATAGGGTTGACGGCGGCTGACCGTAGCCAGTAGCGACTCTGCGCGAAATTGATTAGCTTGTCGGTTCATTCGATCCTCGGTCAATGCTTCTTCAACACATACCTCTGCGCAACTATATTGCAAATAGCCCAGGTTCGGACCTTATCTCGAAGCTCCTCTTCAATAAGTTCCACCCGAAATTTGCTGAAATCCTGCGTATGTGACGGCCGATGCAGACCAAGCTGCATGGCAACCTGCACCATCATTCCGCACAGCATGAATGTAGGGTCCGTGGAGGTGCTGCTCGTAGGAAACGGCCACGTGCATAGCAAGCACAGTGCTTTGACTACATGGTAGCTCTGTGGGATGTCCGCCAGCGTACTCCAGACCAGTCGTGTCACCGGGCCAGCCAGAGAGTTGAGGAGATGGGTGTCGGATTGGTACCGTCGGGCGCCAACACTGATGATTGTCCAGAAAAGTAGAGGCGATGCAGAATAGTATTCATCTGGCGACTGCTCTCGACTAAGGAACGGAAGAAACGGGTGATAGAATGTGAAAAAACTAGACTCGTTAGACGTGCTGCAACAAGAGCCGACGGCGTACACTTACAGATTGAAGAGCTCTGTCACTCTCTCCGGAACCACAGCCACATCCTCAATCCTCTTGAAATGATGAGTGCCATTTCGCATGTAGCCACTGCCATCGAAGCCTGATCGCAAGTCCAGCAGGGATGCGACAGCTTCGTGCGACCCCATGTACTGATCAGTAGACATGGCTGACGGCGTGTGGTAGACACCAGCCGAGCCAACCTGGCTGGGAGTCTCTTGTTTCGGAGTCTGCACCGTGGGCAAGGAAGTCGGGGTCTGCTGTGGCGTGCTCCCGTTTGCCTGCACAGTCGCGATCTGCTTCCGAAGTTCAATGATCTCACGCTCCATCTCGGCGTTGCGGCTGCGCTTCCCGACACGTTTGAAATTGGATTCGATCTTGCAATCCAGTTTCAGGCGACGGCATCGGGAGCAGTCGCTCCACGGATCTTGAATTACATCGCACCGAAGCTACACGAATAACAGTTCACGTCAGCGGGGGAAACCCCGTTGGATGAGCCCGGGCACGCGGCATACCTTCTGCTGGCGACACTCATTGCAGGCCCGCTTGACAGGCTGTCGCTTCTTCTCATCACGGCTATCGAGGTCTTCCACCTCGTCGATACTGGCAGCGGGCGAGCTGTCCAAGCCTGCGGTAGCAACAGTACGTTTCCTGACAGGTCCCCCGCCATCGGACCCGACAGCAGGTGAGACAGATGGATGGTCGGCACCTCCCATTACGGGGCTGGAGGCAGCCGAAGCATTCTTCCTTGCGCTTGGGTCCAGATTGTTGCCCTGCACACCCTTGCCTCCGATTTCGCTGGGCGATCCTTCGAGGGAATCCAGACTGGTTGCGTGCAAGGCTGATCAACGCTGGGACAGTATAAGAGGGAATGGCGGAGAAAAAAAAGGCTAAAAAAAAATAACAGGTCAAAAGTCACAGGTGCACTGGACAGTAATAAAGACCACGTGCCAATATAGCAAGAGGGGAGAACGAATTAGCGATGAGTCAAAAAAACTTTTACCCACCGGCTTGCACCGTGTTTGCAGACCCTGAAATTAAGTGGTGGAGGAATCACACTCGGCGGCGGGGGTCCTGCGAGGAGAAGCTGTCCGATCTCGCTCTCACGTGCAGTGGACGGATTAGCTGACAGCACGTGACAGTTGCATTGGACCAGTGATTAGTCACGAATAAGTCAGCCCAGACCCATCAACCGTCCACGGCCCCACCACCCAATCAGTCCGTGCTTGACTGCTTGTCAACATCATGAATTGAGTAACTACGTGCTAAACTAACTTACTACCTACTCAACTACTACACTACACCATCTCAACTGTACTTCCTACACAGTCTGCATCATACAATTGCATACACAATGGACAATCTTTGGCACCAGTGCCTGAGAGCAACGATGTAGAGATGTCTATTCCCTCGTCACAGGTCATACCACAGACCACAGGCTGCCCCACGCACAGACTCCCACCACCGTGCTAGTTCCGGCGGTCGCCCGACAATTGTCCATTGGCTCTTCTTATTAGCGGACCATATGAGGTCGATCCCATAAGATGAATCCGTGTCTTCTCAATGATACGCAGTGATAAGCACTGCCACCTGCGTTCTATCTGGATTCTCCTTAAATCGAGGTCGATCACAGTCTGTCGTCTTCTGCTTTCAGAAGTGAAGCTTCCCATCACATCCGACTGCACTTCGTATCCTGAGGCTTGCGCTTCGCCTCGATGTTCCACTTGCTAGAACCACTGCCCACGAGGCGAACCTAGGTTAATCCTTGTATTGCGGCACTGCCCTCTGTCAGCGCCGTGGTTTGTCTAGAGACGGGGTTGACCCTTCTGCTCTAACGAGGTGCCCGACGCCGGCCTCTGCCACTATCTTAGAACCTACCCAGTCACACCAGGCAGTTCGGGGTCTACTCACCCACAGTTCGGTCGCTCCCGTACCTGTCAGACTACAGACAGAGAGCATAATTCTTTCCTTTTGGAGAATCTGTGGTTGCCCCGCGTCATTGCCCCGGTGGCATTGCTAGCCGATTATTCTGCCTCCATTCCAATTATGTCAGGCGTCTATCGAGCAACAGTGACCTACAAATGATAGTATAAAGGAAGATTGTTCCGCTGCAGCATCAGTCTCGAATTCTGTCATTCACACTTCTACAGTCCATGCGTGGCATGCAGCCAAGTCCAATATAATTTATGCCTGCCAAGATGGCTAAAGAAACCGAGACTGGTGGAGGTCAACCACCTGCATACAATCAGCTCGATCAGTCGCAGTTGGCATTACCCCCCTTAGACCTTTCTCGGGACGCTGGCCCATCCCAATACACGACAGTCACATCTGATCAGTGTGCCGCTCACCTCAAGCTGCTCGCAGCACTGGCCGATTTGCGCGACAGCGTAGCCAGCACTCGCGGAATCTTCGGCATCCAGGATCCTGATCCGGAGCTATTCCAGCCAGGCTCCAAGGAGGCCAATGAAGCATGGGCTCGAGTAAAGGAGAAGCGGTGGGCGGTTTATACCACCCGAGCAGTGGACCGATATGCAGCCTGGTGGACGTTGTGTGCCCCCGCTTCTCGCGCGCAGCCCAAACTCAGTACCCTCAAATATACCAGCTACGAGAAGATCACGACCTCTGACGAGCCAATGAAATGGTCTCAAGACGATATGCCTCCTCTCGGTAAGTTGAGTCACGGTGC